TCTGTGTGTGGTTAACTACATCTTGATGTGTGTGTGTGTGTGGTTAACTACATCTTGATGTGTCTGTGTGTGGTTAACTACATCTTGATGTGTGTGTGTGGTTAACTACAATAAATGTATTGAACATTATGAGCCTAAAGATTGTCTTACATTTAAAATCCTGATAGACTCTCCACTAATATTACCTTATCTTTCTCTAGGTTATTGACACATGAAGGAATTGAAGAATGTTGTGAAAATCAGCAGAATGTATCTGTTGATGTCATAATCCAAAAAGCACTTAATGTAAGTTTATCAGTTAATATTTCATTGTGTAATATTAGCAGAACTGATCTGTTGATGTCATAATCCAAAAAGCACTTAATGTAAGTTTATCAGTTAATATTTCATTGTGTAATATTAGCAGAATGTATCTGTTGATGTCATAATCCAAAAAGCACTTAATGTAAGTTTATCAGTTAATATTTCATTGTGTAATATTATCAGAACTGATTTGTTGATTTCATAATCCAAAAAGCACTTAATGTAAGTTTATCAGTTAATATTTCATTGTGTAATATTAGCAGAACTGATCTGTTGATGCCATACTATCAACAGATCAGTTCTGCTAATATTACACAATGAAATATTAACTGATAAACTTACATTAAGTGCTTTTTGGATTATAATACAAAAAGCACTTCACTTTCTGAAAATAGATAGGTCAAGTGTGAGTGTCACAACCTTTTAGAAAGTAACATTCAATATTTAAACTACTTTATTATCAACAAACTTAGCCTCAAAACATAATTTATAATTCAAATTCTAATATTATCTAAGGTCTAATTTCATTATTTCAAAATAAATATTTGAATAAATTCTCAATTTTCATTTGTCTATAGCACGTGACACTTGTTCATTCTTCTTTCATCATCCCTGTATGATGTCCTGAGTTTAACATAAATTACACATTTATAGTGTAGGTATTACTAAGGCATCATCTAATCTTCTTTGTTTAAGGAGATATAAACCAGCCCTTTCAGCCGTGGGGGCGTTATAATGTGACGGTCAATCCCACTATTCGTTGATAAAAGAGTAGCCCAAGAGTTGACAGTGGGTGGTGATGACTAGCTGCCTTCCCTCTAGTCTCACACTGCTAAATTAGGGATGGCTAGCACAGATAGCCCTCGTGTAGCTTTGCGCGAAATTAAAAAAAACAAAACAATCAGGGTCAGACTGGAGTGGATGGTTGGAGTTGTTGTGTTAATAGTCTGGCAGTCCAGTCTTTGGTTATAACAATTGTATTAATAGTCTGACAGACCAGCCTTCAGTTAAAACTGTTGTACTTATAGTTTGGCAGGCCAGTCTTCAGTTAAGACTGTTTTATTAATAGTTTGGCAGGACAGCCTTTGGTTGAAACTAGGGATGCATGGGTAGTAAAATTTGGCTGAATGCTGGGTCTGGGTACCTGATCACTAAGCTTTGGCCCGGGGCTGAGAGTCAACCGGACCGGGTTCTCCTCTGCCCCCCTACCCCAAAGAAACATACACAAAAATTAGAAACAAAAACAAAATTGATGTTTATTACATTTAACGGATTAATCACCAACAGAACATTCTGTAAAATTAAACGAGAGCAGTTGTGAAAAGGACTACAATCATTCTAGATAACTTGGATTTATATATATTTTCTGTGGTGGTTTCATATTTAGTGAAGTGCACAGAGTCCATGTAGTATTACAGTAGAGAAAATAACAGGTAAAATATAGTTTCACTGAGAAAAAAAAATTAATATTCGTTTAGGAGGTTCTAGAGGTTCTGCAAAAGAAGTTTCAAAACTATAAGATGAAAAAAGTATTTTTAACATGAAAATCACCTTACATTTGGATTAGTTTGAGTGAATCAGACTGACTACAGTAAATTCAGAGACATATCATTTGTAGAAATAGTTTATTAAAATACTTATTTTTTGTGAAGACACATTTAGTACATTCAAAGTTATAGTGTGTATAGTTTAAAGTTAAATGGTGTTATAAGTTTGTGCAAAATAAATAAGCCCATCTCCATAAGGCTGTAAGATTTTCAGGTTTTACATGTGTAATATTAGCAGAACTCGCCTGTTTATATCATAAGCCCAAAAGTGCTTAATTTAAGTTTGTCAATTTTTTGATGTGTTATACCAAGATTGAGTACATTATATTAAAAAACAATTGACCATGTAAATCAAAGTTTGATGATATCCATAGCGAATATAAAGTCGTGGTGGAATGGCATGTATCAGAACGACATTTTGACATTCTTTGGTGTTTCATATGTAGTGTTATGCCATCACAAAATTTATCACTTTTGTGAAGAATATGTAACAACTTTTTTGACACAAAATGTTTGTATACTCAAATCATATAGATGTGTTCAGATCAGGAATTTCAAAAATGAATGTATCTCATACTTAATGGCATTGAAAAAATAAAAGCAATATCAATCAATTTAGGGAACCAGAAGCATCTAGAAAGAGACCTGAAACAAGTTGCACCCTAACTGTGGTAAGCAAAATGTGGCATTTTTTATTAGGCAAAACTCCACAAACATATATAGGTCAGTGGCAAAAATCATCCACTTGCTCCAGGCAACAGTAGGCAACAAATTCAAGAAGGATCTCCATCTAGAAAAGCAACACAAGCTGCTTCTATGATGTATCAGTTCAACTGTTGAATATCTCAAGACATTGTAGAACAAAATGGGTATTCATGCTATTCCACAAGAAAATGTTCTGGACAAGTGGCCAAAAGCAATGCCTTTGGATTTTTGTTTATAATTGGACTATTTAATGGGATCTGGGAACTGTCATCCTTGTATACTAGATGGATTATGGAAAGCTGCAGGGAGGAGGGGTGTCTTTTGAATATGAAAGCTTTATGATAGAGCATTTTGCAATGGAAACTACTGCAAGGCTGTTGTCAAGATGTGTAATCATTAGAAATAGGACTACTGGACGTGGCAACATCGACTGTAATGACATGGTGATGTTCCAAAATCTTTTAATATAATGTACTCAACTACTGTAGTACCAGAACTCATCTGTTGACATTATAATTCAAAAGAATTTTTGGATGTGTAATATTCATCATTAAATATTTTTATTAACCCTATTGACAGAGATCAAAGGCCATGTCATCGTGTTTGTTGACTCGCATATAACATTTTATTCAACTACTATTTTATGAATTTAAATCAATAAGTTTGGTATCAAATTGTAGATTATATTTCAAACATTAATATTATACATTAGTTAATTTCTTGAATTAAAAGTAAATATAAAAAAGAACAACCTAAATATAGATTTTTGTGTGTCACGTGGTATGTTGAATGCAGCATTGGTTCATATTAGATGTTTGTGATGTTCAAATACAAAGTCTATAGTTTCTTACAAATTAGGAACTCAAATTACCAATATTGAAAAGCTAGAATGTAAAATAAGAACGTCTTATCTTTTATATTTGCTGAGATATCCCTACATGTACTGAATCAAACACAGTGATCATGCCCACCTCTGTCCATTTTTGGAAAGACTTGCTTACATACACCTACTTCTGTCTATGATATATGAATAACCAATTGGAAGCTCACAATGTCCCCCATGTGGTTCTCTGAGCCTGTGTAAAGTATTTATGTGGGAAAACCTTCCTTTTCATGGCAGATTTCAAATGGTAAGATGGTAAGATTAGAATTTAGTGAGCTTAAATTTAATATTTTTTTCGACCCAAATACATCTTAGTTATTAAGCTTGATAAATTATAGTGGAATTCTATGGTATTGATATAGTAATTTATGATTTTTGGATATTTCAAATATATATATAAAACTTAAAAATTATTTCGTTTCACATCCTCCATGTGTGAAATTTGATAAGGCTTAGCAACCTATGGCAAGCAGTAAACGAGTACAAAGTTCGTAACTAAAAGAGATCATTGTTTTTCTATACTTCTTTATTTACCGTTTTATGTTTTTTATGTTTTTTCGTAACTAAAAGAGATCATTGTTTTTCTATACTTCTTTATTTACTGTTTTATGTTTTTTATGTTTTTTCATAACTAAAAGAGATCATTGTTTTCTATACTTCTTTATTTACTGTTTTATGTTTTAAGAAAAAATGAATGAAATATAAGAAGTTATTTGTTAATATTATTAACGTATATATAATGTTATATAACTGAAATGTGGCTGTATTTTACAAAGTACTGGTTCACTAGAACACAGCCAAGACAGGTCACTTTGTAAAGGCCAGTTTTATAGTCTTGGTTATGGTAACATGAGTGCACATGCATTGCATCTTTCCAACTTTTGTAATGTTAGCCAAGAATGGCTGAAAGTTTGCCCCTGAAGAAGAAAGGTCTATCTTTTGAAAGTGCTTGGGTTATAGGTTTTTATCATCTTGTATCAAGACTTTTTGGACCTAGGTTTTTTTCTGACATCATGAAGGTCAATATAATAGAAATAGTAAATATATATAAATGTATAATGTTATGAGGTTTAAGCTATGTTACAATTTGTGGTCATTCTAGAACAAAAAAAGCATAATTTATATTTATTTCCTAATTTTTTATGCTGGTTACAAGGTTGGTCAAATAGACCGAACCCGTACAGAGATTCGATAGTAAAAATAACAGATGAAATATAAAGTTTTTCTTTACAAACATTTGATAATTATCTGGAGGTTATAAAGATTTTGCTTGTGAAATTTCAAAAATTTCTGATGCATAAAAGTATTTTTAATTTTAAAATCAAAATTACTTTGCATGTTGGATAGTCAATATTCCAAAAGAAAAAAGGCATGAAAAAAAACATTACTTAAAAAATCTTAAAACTTAATTAAAAAAATCTGATATTCTGTGTATGAAAGCCTTGTAATGTTTACTGTTAATCTGCAAAATTCTGTGAAGATATGCTTATTAATTTAAAAGTTGTAGCAAGAAAAACTATAACAAGTGCAAAATGGTTACAAGGTCGGTTCATGCTGAAAAGAGTTAAAAGACCAACACTAAAATCAATGAGAAATTACAATGTACATCAAATTGTTTGAACCTAAAATATTAGCCTTCTTTTTCTTTTGTTGCCATACAAATTAGACTTTTATAATTGATAAAAATGGTGAGTTGTAGTGGGAGAGTAGTATAAAAATATCTTGCTCTCGTATTGTGTGAGATGTCATGTTCAAACTTTGGTTTAAGTCTACATCTTGCACGTAAAGCTGATGTCCAAAAACGTTTTCGACTACATGTTATACCATTGAGGTATATATATTTTTTATTTTAATGAGTGTAAATAATAATATACAACTAAACAATGTTGTAGATGTATATTTGCTTAATGTGCAAAATGCATATTGAACTACTTAATTGAACATGTTAAAAATAGATTACTTTCAACTTCAGATGAAACCACATGCTTTACTAGTGATGTTTTGACTTGGAACTTTTCAGATTACCATTCAATAGAAAAAGTAATATGAAATGAAGTTAATATATATTCAAGAGAACAGCCTTGGTCACCACATATTAGATAAGACTGAAACAGTGTTAGGTTAAAAATATTAACAATGTGTGTAAGATTGGATTATGTTGCATAAGTTTTAACATAGAAGTTATCATGGTAAATTAATAAGTTATAGGAAGGTAGTAAGATGAACACTAAGTGTTGGCTGTTCCTCTCTAGTTGGATTTACGAGATATTGGTGCAAAGTGCCTACCTGATGACATAGGAAAAGGAAAAGTTGATGTGGTGAGTAAAGAATTCCGAGTTTTCTTTGATTATAGTTTTTCATTTATAAAGTAGTTGTTTTTGTGTGGGTTTGCAGTTTCAATAAATCAAAAAAGAGGAAATTGAAATTTTAGTTAGAACCCTGTTGTAAATTTTTATTAAAATAAGTCTAATGTCAAAGTTACCTTTTATTATAATGTCTGAGGGTTTTGGAAGTATACAAATTCTTATAACCCGTGATCTCCTTAGTATGTGAAAATTTTGTTCTCAGTCGAGTCCTAGTGGATCTGATTTATTTGATGATTTCTCAGAAATATTATTATGTTGTTTAACTGTTTGGTGTAAGTTTCATTTTATATATTTACTAGCTGGAGTACCCGTCCCCTACACGGAAGTTATGTAAATTCATGATTAATGAAAGGCTATCTTAGGACATAAAGTTGCTTCCCTTATATGTAATTGTAAAAAATGCAAAAACATCCAAAATCCTCAAAACTGAAACTTTGTATGTATCTCCCCTTGGACCTAATGAATTACCATACCAAATTTGGTAAGATTGATCTACAGGGGGTGAAGTAGTGGTAAAAACTGCAAAACTGAACATTTGTATGTATTTCTCCATAGACCCAGTGAACCTCCATACCAATTTTGGATGAAAATCCAGCCACACCCTCCAAAGTAGTTACATGGACATACAGCAGACAGTACTATTATATTTTTGTATGTTATCTATATTCAGACAGTAC